ACGGTGTACCACGGTGTCGAGACAGGTAGTGGATAGAAAAAGTATATGGTTGTCAACCTAAGACCTGAAATTAGGGCATGTAAACCACGATACTCGGTCATATATTTCACGCTAGGCTCGCTGGATGGGGACCCTAAGGACCCATTGAAACCCGGGGTTAGAGACAATGAATGATAAAGCTAAGTATCGTGCACATTGATGGTCATGCACCTTCTCAATTTCTTCGTAATCTTAGACTACCGGAAGACTCAATTTTTCTTCAACACTGTTTGCAACTTTCCACTCCTACTTTTATCTATCAACCCTAATGTTCAGCCAAAAGACGGCAACAAAAACCGGCATACGAAAGTGCATGGTTAATTACCGCAAAAACTAAAAATGAAACTGGTCATCTCTAGTCAACACTATGGAAATTATCCATGACGCTTGTGATGGTCCCTCTTCTGCAGAGTCATTAGGTACGTAGCTTAATGAATAACCGTTAAGACTAATAATTGTCTAACTGCAACAGTCATTTATCTGATAACAATATTTTTCATGTAATGTTGTGCTGATGTTTACGTAGATCGCTCGTACCGCCTCAGTAAATTAAGTTAAACACCACCGTTCGGCTCCAAACGAAACGGTAACCATGGCACCAATCGTTGCGTATTTTCTGTAGTCAGGTTGAGTTCCAATCACATCGATGGGTGCAAAATCCCATTGTCTCAGTGCACTCCCAGATTAGGTGCGCTAACGGCGCACGGGACTTCATCAATCACATTTTAATTGGTGGATTTTGACAATGATGGTCCTACCAAGTGCATAATCCCCTATCTATAGAACCGTGCATATCGTACAATACGTTAGCTTTGACATCATCTTGTCGTAAAAATCTTACACCAAAAATCCCTTGCAATCAGAGACTCAGTTATAAAGTACGTTTGTTTGTTAACGCAGTGAACATTATAGTTCACGTTCGTGGTTTTTGGAAATCGATTGAGCGAAGCTCAAACAAGAAAGAACGAGCCTAATTAACCCCGGATGTGAGAACCATGGACTGCACACTAACGGGCATAACGATGATTGGTGGTTGTTGTGATCCGATTAAATAAAACTCGGCCACTTCATCTATCCATTTCAAGAGATAGCCGTGACTGTTGTAGTATTTGTCTCTCGGGTGCTATAACGTATTGTCCGGGTGCTCAACATGCTTGGCATTTAGGTTGCCCACGATCTGATAAGTACTTTGAGAATACGATCTTAATAGGTGATAAAAAGTTTGTAACCGATTGATCAAGCTGGATTTACAACTGAACATCACATACGCACATAGTGGCAGTCACAATTTGAGAGTATTAACTATATTTTGGCTCCATGAATGTAATCGGAAGGGGACTTGTAAATGACGTTACATGTGATATCCTATGTAATCCATCGGTTAAAGTGACCCGGACGGACGTCAATGAATCAAACTTACCTATCATTTACTATCGAACTTCTCTTCTTGTGTCCTCAAACAACGGCATCTGATTGGTCGCGATCTTCATTGTTTGAGAGATGATTGTAGGTCTCTTAACTGAGGTTTTTCGACCTCACCAATTAGTTCGCAGTCGTCGATCCAAAGGGGATTAGGAGTCACGTTCTGGCCTCAGTGAAGACGATCAGAATCGGCCTACACAATACTCCGTTTGCTTCCCAAAACAAATCGTAAGAACACTCGATCTTCCGTAGCCAACAACATGCAAGTCACATTCATTACCCATCACCCTTAATGACCCGAACCAGTGCGCATGTAACGACCAAGGTGTGAGCAACATCCGGTCATGGAACTGGAATGTTGATTATTTCTTCTCCTATTTTGCCATGATTTCCCCCTACCCCAAACTAAAATTTTGACATAAATTGTGGTGTATTAGCCTGTAGGTAAAACACCGCAAATGAGGTTGTTCGCTACTGTTTTTCTTGCAGTGATTGGTTATGTAAAATGGTTACTTCCCTAGACCTTAGATATGTATACCGTTAGGTGAATATACTCACCATGTTCATGCACTGAAGGTGGCTGATGATCTGAGTGGTTATTGGAACTTTATCTTTCTGAATCCTTTCTTCGAATTGCCGATAAGTGGATTCTTTTGTTAATTAGAATATAGATATTCAAAGCCTGATAATTATTAGGAAAATCAATCTGGTTGCGTGATTTTTGCCGAAATTACAAGAAAAGAATAAAGTAAAAAATAGATACTTTTCGAGACGATGCAATATCGATGAGCTTCAAAAATAATTTAGAGGTCCTCTTGCAGTTCAAAAGGAATTACACGTATCTTCAGGATTTCGCTCCCACAAACCGAAAACAAATTCTCTATAATTTCTACAGTCTATGGGCATATACTACAAGCAAGATATTTTCTCTCTATTTATAGAATACTGTGGTGCGGATTCCCGTGATGAATAGAGATTGTTTTGACGGAGTTATCCATTACTGAATTCCACCGGTCAGTTTTCATTGACAAGTCGGAACAAGCCTTGGGTAGTTTGGATTTAACCATCGTCTGCTTTGGTCGTCCATAAGCTGACATTGTTTGTTCTGGGGTTGGCGTTCCAGAATCCAGCATATTGTTGATTATTCCTCCGAAAAGAAAAATCCTGTATAACAATAAAAACAGGCGAAAAAAGANTGCCATTTTAGTGCTTAGCATTAGGTCAATACAGTATTGTATTGGAAAGCCAAAATCACCGGTGATTCAGAAAGGTTCATACGCTGAATCACACTTGGATAGCGTAGACTTAACGACCAAGATTATCTGGTCCACCATTGGTTCAGGTAAAACTTAGCTGTCCTTAGTGGCTTTGTATGATGTTGCTGGGGAGACAGTATGAGACGAAAAAAAGAAAAAAGAATACATGACAGGGAGGCAATGGTCTGCCCATCGGGTGGATCATTGTTGCAAACTTGATTTATGAATACTGTTTGTGGTAAACTTTCTTTTGGGTCACATTTAAGCTCGTATGCCTAGTTTCACTTGTTCTGTCTATACAATCTGATAAGTTGAACGTGAGACCACACACATACTCGACAGCCTCTAACTTGAGTGCTCCCTGCATACATAATATATTGTCAATTACTCAACTAACCACTCTTTGACTGACAGGCCTGAAAGCGATAATCAATCTGCGTTGCTATAGGGTTTTGCGTTATTGACAGTTTTTTGCCCGTTCGCCAGTGCCTCGATCACGGGTGCAACTTCTTTGAGTAGAGTAAACGTCAAATCCAGAAACTATCACAAATAACCTTTTCTCTTCGCCTTGCTATTCTTACCGTGGTCGTATGCTTAGAAGTTGTCGGAGTTGCTGTGTTTCCGAACCTGTCCAGTGAATTGGCTCATGGCTCTCCCGATATAATTACACGGTTCAACGAACAAAAGAATTGTTGTTCTTGTTGTCCTGTGTAGTCCGGTTTTTCTCATTTTTCTTTTCTTCGTTTTTAACCCAGATCCATAATTTCCAGTTACAGTACTGGCGTGTCCACAACACGCTTGTTGTGAGCTCGTTGTTTGTTGTAAACGTATATATATAATATATATATATATCTGTATTTGTTCAAGAACAACTGCTCGTGTATTTCTTTTACTCTATACTTACACTTCGATATTCGTACGCTAATTCACTATAGACAGGTTTGGAAACACAGTGGATAGGACGTACTGTCGCTCACTGAGGTGTAGGTATATGCCTGATGTAGGATCAGTCGATTTAAAAGCATACCCTTGCATGAAACAAGTCACATGTGACAGCCGCCTTTGTGGCGCCTAAAAAGGAGTAGAATGACAGGTGTGGTACCATGCACACAACTGGCAGTGTGCACCATTGTGTTTTCATCGCTTACGCTTCCTCGTAGAACCATGATTCGCCAATTGTCCTCGTCAGTGGACTTTCAGATGCGAATTGAAATCGCAAATTATGAAGGATTCCTTCGACAACTAACCCAATGATTATTCCTATCTTTAGACGAATAAATCTTTTCTGATGTGAACTGCTTAAGACAACAGCGGAAGACGCATTTCGGGTACGAATTTATACTTATTTTCACTATTTCTATTATGGGATTGCTCTAAACGTTTTATACAGGCTGATTAAAGTACTTCTGTGATCCAAAATACCCTCCAGATTCTCTACGGTGGTAATGCCACCAAATTATCATCTCAAAGGACGTGTGTTCAAATCTTAACACCGCCTGGCTTCCCCCATTATGTGCCATATCGAATCCCTTGGATTGGCCGCTTCCCTTTCCTGCAATTTTAATCAGTGCATATTGATTAAGAAAGGTAGACATGAGAATGAGAAAGTGGAGTCAGTCGGAATTTGAGATTCGTATGAGTGGTATTCGCGGGGGAGAACAAATTAAGCATGTATCACAATTATCTATCCTATTTAATGTCCCTGACCAAGTGCATAGTAAAAATATGTTTCCAATCCTTCAGTTATCGACAAAGTGATTAGAAATACAAGGTTTAGATGCGCATAACAGATGTCAACACACACATGCGAAAGGTCTTTATTTGCATTTTGGTTTTACATGATAACTGTCTGCCCTAATTTGTGGTGTGTCCCACCGACTGGAGCTCCGCAAGAAAATTTTCTTTCTATTTGCACATTGTTGTCGATGAGGTAGACTTCATCAACTGGGACGATAAACACCAATGCAGTGAGGAATCCAGTGCTCTCGTACAAGAATTCAAAGCCCATATAGATGGCGATGAAATATCTACCACATACTGTAGGTAACCACTTTTTGGAATTTTTGAGTAGACTTCCAGGTCACACTGAAATCGATCGCAGATTGCGCGAATTCTTCGGTCAGTGGGATCTGATAGCACTTTCTCTAATCCAAATGAATCCTTTACAAAGAAGCGGTGCTTGTAAGGCTCACCCGGTTGTCGTGGAAATATAACTCCGTTCGGCATAGATTGACTATCCATTTTGGATCTTATACATTTTTTTCGAATGTCTGTTTGACTCACAGATCTCCGTCGTTTGTCAACGCGTTTATTGGCTTTAGTTTGAGCTATCGAATCTGTCGGGATGGTCTTGTGCACTTTTGGGGGTTTGTGCTCGTTGAATCCTGTCTGGCCTATGTTTTGTGGATCTTGTGGTAAACAAGTCGGATATTGTTGAGAAGGACTGTTATGTGGTATCATAATCACTGGCGGTGTTTGTTGTACATGCATAACATACTCTTGACCATTTATAGAGTTGTTTGATATTCGCATAGGAGAAGTTTGAAACAGGTTGGAGATTTGGTTTAGTTCTGGGTAAACTGTAACCGGAACAGTCTGCTGGTCCATACTCACCGGTGTGTCGTGTTTTAACTGCAGCACCGGAGTAATGTATTCCGTATAATTCATTCTTCTTGGCCACGTTGAATGTGGCCTGACGTTTGCTACCGGATTGTCCTGAAAACCTAGTCGCGGTGACACAATTTCCTCGGTAGATCGGAACTCAACCTCTCGAGATGGAGAATATGTATAGCTAAAGTCAGGCGTGCATTGTTTGATGAATGGACTGGACAAACCAAACGCTTCCGTCCCTTCAGACGGTGCGATACTGGTGAATCGGGGATCTGCCAACATCTTGATAGGGATGGCTTTGGAGGGAATGGAAAGAAAAGCTGTTGTAGGAAATACGGCTGCCTGGGATTGAGTGGCATTGTTCATATTCGGTAATTTTAACTTTGCTTCGGCCGTAAACTCAACAAGTGATTTTTTTGAAGGTACAGCATCACAAGAAAAACTACGAGTCAATCGTATGTTAGAAACTGTATGACCTGCTGGGAAAGCTTCCTGCTGTTTTTGCTGTTCTTGTTGATGGACTACTTGAAATTGATCATTTGTCCCATTAGGGAATGTTGGCAAGACTCTGCAATGTGTACACTGTATTAGACTGGGAATAGATACTGCACGTTCCGGAACGCATTGTGGACTGCACTGAGAAAAGCGAAGCGTCTGTGAACAAGGAACTTGGGGGTAGGATATTTGTTTGTTAACTTCAACAGCAGTTTGTGTTAGAAGTGGTTCAGGCACAGAATTGATAACACTGAAGGTTTGGGAAGGATATTGAGTCGCATCCAAATAGCCATAATCTCGAACTGGTTCCAGTATGTGGTTTTGTATGCTAGCGTTTGTGTTGGATGCGGCAGAATGAAAGGTTTCGTCCGCCTTGTAATACGGGTGTGAATCGTGCCGTATGGGGGGAATGGAAGAATTGGTAGCTGGAGAGTATGTGGGTCGGGCACCAACAGGAACTGCATTATTACCGACAGTAACTTTATGCGAAGAGTAACTTTGTCTGCGACTTTCCGTTTTATCATGCTGTGGAGATTGAAACGGATAAAAAGTTGATTCGTCTCCATGAGGTTGTACACCTTCGATTAACGTGGGACCGCCCTGACCCGAAAGCTGCAGGGACTGCCCGCTTGATGGTGTGTTGATAAATGTGAACGTTGACATGGTTTCACACTGAACTGACTTGCTCGACACTTCGGTACAAATACTGGTCCCTTTCGATCTTGTAACCAGCAGGGTTTCAGAATCTATCGTTTGTGTCATTTGTGTATTTTCATTTGCGGTTTCATTGGGTGCTTTGAAGCAATTATTCCCCATTCTACTTGTGATTTACTAAAATGTAACATGTCTGTGCACATACGATCGATCGTTTTAGCTTTAAACGTATACCGTTTAGTTTCATAAACACGTGACCGTCATCTGAAGCATGGCATATGACTAGGGTGTGCATTTTGCGTTACTTTAACTAAACTTCTATCATAAACTGATTGGGATCAAAGAAAACGTTGATCTTTCTTATGACATAAAGGAGAGTCCTTAACTAAACCGCAGAGATTAGAGTATTTATCCCAATTTGTGAAGCGGAAGAATTACACCAGTGCATCAGCAGCAAAATCATAATAGTGTATTTTTACGGATAGAGTTGTTGTGTATAATAACGATGCTCCTTCATCAACAGCGATCAAGTTTTGATATTGCTGTGCCGATGTATTCGGGTATGAGTTATGTGTTACACACGAACGGTTTAAATCATCACGGTTGATATACATCGAACCAAGTTAGTGTTAGACCGTTGAACTGTTGACCATAGCTGTACTTTATAGTTAGGGGCTCTGTGTTAATCTCCTTTCCGATTCCCAGGAATGAGGTAGTCAGGTTTTCACAGTTATCTAATTAATCACGCTGTCCGTGATTATCTCCCGTACATTACACTAACTCACGTGGTAAAACGGGGATCAAAAGATTAGTAAAGCAATTAGATTTGACAGGTATTTTCAGTTACTTGGTAGACAGAATTCGATCGGAACAACTTCGACGGGAAACTTTTGCCGGATATATATTGAGAAGAGGTGGTATTTGATCTCCACACTGAGCGGGGAAATTTTAATTACATATTTGAAAACGTAAAAGGATTTCATTTTTGGTGATTTACGCCTCAGAAGCTACTTTTATTTATATTATAATTAAGAAAGCTAAATAAAGAATATTATCTGCAAACATTTACAGGTTTACGATGAAAAAACTTTTATTTAATGTGCAATCATATTAATTCTTTAGGGTTAAGCAAACGAGTAGGTCGTATTTCGTCTTGAAAGACCCGAAAACAAACAAAGTGGCCTTAGAGACAGTCAGATAAGAAACACTGTTCAGCTGCAAAAATTTTAAAGCTGAATGTGAATAACTGATACGATATATTGAAACAGTTCATCTACGTTTGATCAGGCCAGTAAAATAGCAACCTATACGTTCTGAGTTCAAACCGAGCCACTGCTGCCCATCTTGTACATTTCTTCGTTTCCTCCGGGCAGCTTTTTTATGGCCAAGGCCATCTTCCTGAAAGGTCATTGTACATTTCTATGACAAATACCAAATAAAGGAAGTAAAACAGTTTATTCGCAAAATCAAAAATCAATTTTTCTGATTTAATAGAAAGTGTAAAATAGACAGTTGATGGATCAAGTAAGATAAATCTGCCCCGAAGCATCTGAAACGGTTTAAGTCCAGTGGTACACTAGAGAGAAAGGAACACAGCGTAAGTCATTCTAATAGGGAGCTGAAATGCTAAACTCGGTTACTCGTCCATCACCGATAGCCGATTGCGCACGGATGAGATTAGCTTCTTAATTTGGAATTATTATTTGATACAATTACCTGATGTGAACAACTTTATCAAACAAATATCATGTCCGTAAATGTAAAAAATGTGGTAAGGAGCGGAAGCAGAATAGCTAGGAACACAATGGAAATGACTAAACTCTGAATTCTTGTTGGCCTTCCCCAAAAGGTGTGAAATTAGGCTCAGAGTCAACAAACCAATGCATACCATTGAAAAAAAACCAAAAGTGTAAAGCATTCTACACATGGATTAGAAAATGACCTTTGGAAAGGTGAACCAACTTCTATTAAAAGGGCTACCAGTTAATCAAAGGTGGACACGTATAATCACCGTCGTCGTAATCAGAAGTGCTGATAGCTTAGCGATTTTTCTATAAAAAAATGTTTTGAAATTAATTCAAAAGTAAATTTTGATGACTTTACATAGGTGTAAGTTTTACACTGAAGAGCAATAAAGAATTTTCGAAGTGCTCCTACAATAATATTATAGTACCATACCCACGGACACTTATTTTAGGATAAGCGTTCAATTTACAGCTCTAGTGGTTGTTAACGATCAATTTATTTGTTAGTAGAGTCCTGATAATACCCATGGTAGTACGATTGAATGAGATTGGGAGAGAAACTTCATCCGTTAGCTACGGATAATTTACCGAAATAAACTATCAAATCACCGGAAAATTCAATGATAAGATCTCTGGAATACATCCGTATATACGTGTTTAATGACAATGTCGGTGACTGTGCCGACGACGTTCACGGAAAAATAACAGTTGGATGTAGTGTCTGTTTCCTATGACCAACAAAATACCTCGGTCCTAGCAACTCTCTCAGCCCCCCCCCTCCAAAAAAATGTGGTCATCACACTGCTGATCACTCTAAAGAACNTTTCAATGACACAGTCTTGTTTTTTGGTTCAATAACTACACGGATAGTTAGTGAAACATGGTTATTTGTGACTGATTTCTTGCAACGTTTAATAAATTGTTTTGATAGAAAATACTCAATGCTTTCGCTCCAGTCACATGAAAATATAAGACTTGGCAGAGGGAAATTCAATTTTCAGAAAAGAAAAAAATATGAATTTTGTGCAAACTTGTTACATTGGGTGGCGATCAAAATTCGACAATAAGACTTAGAAGGTGATGTCCGTTCAACTGGTCGGCCCGTGCAAACATGCTATCAACCTCAAATCGTGTTTAACATCGGTAGCCATATCAGGTATAGCACAAACGTTAGCGAGAATAGAATACAAGTGAGAGAGATAATAATTTACCGAATCTATTCTCTCAGAACTATTCTTAAAAATAATCAACCTACCATAGCTGTAATAGGAGATGGATAATGAACATTTGTTTTCGGGATTTAGGTCCCGATTTGCCGGAAAAACGTTGGCCGTCAAACAAATTTGTTACCACTGATGTACTTCCGTTTTAGATCACCGCATCTCGGTGTTAACTAGCTAAAACAAGAATCAAGCTGCGGGTGACACAGACAATAATCACGTGCTCTCCGTACCCTAGATTAGATTAATTCTGTTTTTCTTTTTCAAAAGCCTACAGTGTATTTTTTCATTCCGCGGTTGAAATGGCATTTCAGGCAAGTTTCCTCAGACGTTCCGGAAAATTCAGTTGTGCCATGGATTCTCTAGCAGTAAATCTTATAGTCATGTGAACGCTTGTTATCAGTCCGGTCGCTCATGCTTGCGATGGCGTGCATCGGTGAAACGGAATCCATCTTATTTTCCCCTAAAACATCTGAAAATAGTCAGCCCAGATTCAGAGCTTTCGCATGTTACCGCTCGTTCCAAAACAAGACAAACTGCCACACAAATCAAACGAGGATTTCACGTCTTGGTGTGTGCGTGTGGGTGGGTCAGTTCGAATTTGCCAGCTGTCAAATATTTTCCAAACCAGATCGATTTCCGTGTTACTTTACTTAGTGGCTAAATTCACTTTTTATCGCACCCAATGTCGCAGGTTGGAATGCAGATTTGGACTGAATGTTACGCACCAGGTGCACTCAGGCTGTTGGGTGGTTGTTTTCTTCTGAGGCTAAGCCCGTTTGCGGAGTGTGTGAATCGAATCAGTTGTGCTAAATGCTTCACAGGTTTGGCAGGTCTCAGTGATATTATATTACAAACATTTGGAATATGCAGTGATGCTGCCCTACTCTCGTGCTTCCGTTCATCCATTGACCTGATCCTACCTGATCACTAACCCTGTAATGAACACCTATGTCATCAGGTTTGTTGCTGAATTGTAGCTAAGGTATGACGTTACAACCAAAATAATCACAATGAATTACATGGTTTTCAATCGCTACTCAATTAGAGAACACGGCGATTTAAATTGACTTATTATATCGTTGACAAATTAGGGACATTTATTGAAATATTTATAAGTTTTACATGGCTTTTGCTCTTGCAGTTCCCTGAATTGGCGGCACTTGTTTCTAATTTGTTGAATGAGAAAATTGGTTACATACTGCAAAATAAAATACTTTCCATGAACCGCTAATCCTAACTTAAAATATTTTTCCTTTTAAGATAAATCATAGGAAGCAGCATCTTCAAATCAGTTGGTATCTAGCACAAAAGGTGAAATTCGTGACCCCTTTCGAAACTCGAGGCTTCTCCTGGTTGGTGCACGTTACCCAAAGTCACAAAACGTATGCCTGCTCTTCTGGTTTTCGGTTGTAGTTCTATAGTGTATTGGTGATAACGCGGAAACAAACAAAATGTATGTTGAGAGAGTTTCAGTCAACGCAATTTACTTCGATATGTTTACTCAGATAGTCGTAAAAAAGGAAGGCAATGGTCCAGGCCAAGAAGAGATCTCAGTAGCTATCGTAATTCAATACATTAGGCCGTTTGTTTTGCTTTTGGGTACTACGTTTACTTATTCAGTGACCGCTTATCATCCAGTGCCAATTAGTTGACTGTCGTGATGAAGTTCTTTATTTGGTGCATCCACGTATTTGCACAGATCTGGAATCGCATGCTCCGGACCAGCGTTCACAATAGTATTGTTTTAACTTATTAGTCAGATAAAGGAGTGGATTTTCGTGACATATTCATGTTTTGAGTTTCTAAGACCGATGCAAATGATCTAATCCAGATGCGAGGTTGATACAAACAGATGGTAAATACTGAAAGTGGAACTTTGCGTTAGGTGTCATGTATTTTTCTCGATAACAAGCTTTATTTACATCTCCTTTTGCGATCGGTCAGCTTTTTTATCGCAACTCATAGGTAATGAAATAGTATTCTCTATACAGAATTCATCAATGATTCGCTCCAGTAGACGTAGACAACACCGAATGTGACG